GGGGACGTGAGGAGACGTGAGGAGACGTGAGGAGACGTGAGGAGACGTGAGGAGACGTGAGGAGACGTGAGGGGACGTGAGGGGACGTGAGGAGACGTGAGGCGACGTGAGGAGACGTGAGGAGACGTGAGGAGACGTGAGGAGACGTGAGGGGACGTGAGGAGACGTGAGGAGACGTGAGGAGACGTGAGGAGACGTGAGGGGACGTGAGGGGACGTGAGGAGACGTGAGGGGACGTGAGGAGACGTGAGGGGACGTGAGGAGACGTGAGGAGACGTGAGGAGACGTGAGGAGACGTGAGGAGACGTGAGGGGACGTGAGGGGACGTGAGGAGACGTGAGGCGACGTGAGGAGACGTGAGGAGACGTGAGGAGACGTGAGGAGACGTGAGGAGACGTGAGGAGACGTGAGGAGACGTGAGGCGACACAACAATCGGGTCCGTCGGGACGTGTTCTTTGGTGTCAGTTTGGTGTGTCAGGGCCTTAACAAAGACCATCATGCAGACCAAAGACCCTCGTGTTCAACAACCCTCAAGTGGACTCAAGACCCTCAGACATATGGACAATAACCCTTGGACGAACAACGACCCTTGGACGGACCCTTGGACATATCAATGACCCTTGGAAGGACATGGACCATCATGCAGAACAAAGACCCTCATGTGTACAATGCCCCCCAGGTGTCCTAACCCACTGTACCCTGGTCCCGGAGTTACCGTCCGTTCTTGGTGACGATCATCTCGTTGGTGAGGGTCTGGAACTTCCTCCACAGTTCGGCGTCCTCCAGTGTGACCTTCAGCTCTCGCTCCGTGGGGTCGCCCTTCTCCCGCCCGGCCGTCAGCTCGCTCTCCACGGCGCTCAGGAGGCGGGACATGCATCGCTCCGAGGCCTCGGGACCGCCGTCCAGCTGGGGGGGGCTGCGACCTCCTGGAGACGCCCCGTCCTCCTGCAGACCCTCCACCTTCATCTGCACGCACGCACACACACGCACACGCACACGCACACACACACACCACACACACACACACACACACACACACACACACACACACACACACACACACACACACACACACACACACACACACACACACACACACACACACACACACACACACAGCTCGTATTAA